TGTTCAATGTTATGCAAAATGGTAGAAATAATTATGTAAAAAATATTTTTTTTCTGTGAAATATTCGCTCTTTCATTTTAATGTATTATGCCAATTATATAGGAGGCATCCTTTTTTTAATAGGTGTTATTGATTACTAAAATCTCCATAAAACTCCTTTCTGTTATTGATTAAACTGATAAAAATACTTTAAATGGATTAATATATTTAGGACAGACAAATATTCCATGAAAATGTACTGCTAAAACACACCAAAGAGACAACTGGTCAGACTATAGAACCGAAAACTGTCATTAAAATATGTACTTAAACAATAGGGTTTATGTAATGGCATACGTTTATAATGCTAAAAAGATAACTACTATCTAATGTATTCATCTAATCAGACAAAAGGAATGAGAATGCTAAATACAATTAAGATTTTTGATTGTTAATATACGTGTGTTGACATATAATATATTATATATAGAGTAGTCGTTAGTGAAATATCCTAACGAAGGTTAAATTGTGGGTAACTTCTGGGAACTATCTACGGATTGTTATTATATATATATTCTTATTATATAACTATTAAGTAACTAGATTGTATATATTTATATTCCTTTTACAATAAGCTTTTATTTGACATATCGACTACTGTTATACGATTTACTATTCTTAAGTTATTCTTAACTTATTAGTTACAGTTTCTCATAATCACAGACACATTTCGGCTTGATGATGTATTATTGTTAATTTTTATTTTATGGTATGATGTGGTCTGGTTTACTTGTACATAAACCAAGTATATCTGAAATATGTTATTCGTATGGTGTAAGATGATATAAGTGTTCCGGACTGAACAGGCAGGACTAGACAAAAAGGACAAATAAGGACTTTAGGCTGCTCGTACTGGTCAATGCGTTATTGGTTTTGCACAGTGATAAGAATGTGCTAGGATGGTGTTCTGATTGGCGATTTTATTACGTGATAATCAACAGGGCCAAAAGTGACAATAGTTAGATGAAAATTAGTTATGAATTGTTAATTTCAGTATTCGATTTCAATTCATTGAATCAAAATTTCCATATCATGACAGGCAGTTGAATACAAGATGTGTGTTTAATCCTATTTAGGACTACTTAGCTGGATGTAACCTTATCCAAGTGATGATGTTCATATTGAGTCCCAAACAGTGCAAGTCGTTTCAAGAACCAAACAGTTATCCACTAATATTCTGAGTTCAATAGTAATTAACTTATCCAGTGGTTATAGTATCATTTTTAAAGGTTGTAGAAGACGAATAGGAACTTTCGTCTAAATTTGATCGAATGATTTCACAGTATTTGGGCGCTGAGTTGATGTGAGACATTAAAGAGGAAGAATGTATGTGTAAAATCTCAGCGAATGAATTTGAAGTAAATCCAACGTTTCGCCTGGCAATCTGGTCAAAGCTTTTCCAAGGAATTATAATCAAACATCAAAATTATCGAATATAAGTAGGTACATGGTTCTCCGGTTCACTGTATACTGAAAAGGTCATCTAATCATGGTTAACAATGTTTAAAATAGGTATTTGTATTATTGTGTAAGACATGTGGTGTGAAACGAAGTGTTAAGATAACAGATTATGTGTATACGTAAGTGAAAATTTTCTTAATATTCACGGACCAAAGACAATATATAATGAATGAAAATTCTTCTCACTTACGCATACACACAATCTGTTATCTTAACACTTCGTTTCACACCACATGTCTTACACAATAATACAAATACCTATTTTAAACATTGTTAACCATGATTAGATGACCTTTTCAGTAAACAGTGAACCGGAGAACCATGTACCTACTTATATTCGATAATTTTGATGTTTGATTATAATTCCTTGGAAAAGCTTTGACCAGATCGCCAGGCGAAACGTTGGATTTACTTCAAATTCATTCGCTGAAATCTTACAAATATATACTTCTTTAATGTTGTGGAAGATGATTTTGGTGGAGTTTCGTTCTCTAACGTGCTTGGTTTAATCATAAACCTTTCACTGTTCTTCCGAACAAGACCGTTAGCATAAACTTCAGGTAGAAGTGAAGTATTCGGATTTCTCCACATATGACTAACAGCTATTCTGTCGACCTTGATTGACTATTGTTGACCTTAAACCTGTCATTGTCATTATGTTTATTTTGGTTGTCTCTCCCTTTGATTTGATTCTTGGTCCATGATTTTTCCGATTTATTGATAAATTGGATTGATTTCAATGTTTTAGTTGATTACTGATTGACCTGAGTACCGAGCTTCTAGGAATTCTCGGATGTTCTTGGTACTCTCTCTAACCAACATTTCAACATCTTTCCAGTCAACTGTGCGTCTACTATCCCGTTACATATAATGTGACCATTCATTACTATTTGAGCGAAATATTATGACTGTTTCACAAGAGAACTAGTCTCGTACACAAGATTAAGATGTTCGGTTTATCTTTATGGCAGTATTACGTTTAGTCGGTTCTGGCGTGCAGCCCTTATTCTAAATGATCAATATCACTAACAACTACTTCAGATTGAAGCGAGTTTTTTAGAAGTATTCTACAGGTTTTAGGGCAGTTTATCTCCATCATCTGGTTTCGCAGTTTTGATCATCATCATGTATGTATGCTTTCCTCAGTCGACTGTTTCGTTACGTTAACCTCTAACTTCACTGGTCTCGTTTGATCCCCTGGACCTCAGTTTCTGTGTATTCTGACCGCCAAATATTGGGTTCAAAGAAATCCCTTACCATCGTTAGTTCCGGAATCCCATCCACGAGTAGACCGTTTACCATTAACCAAAAATACAGACTTAGTCAAGATGACTCCTAAACACAAACTGTGTCAGAAAGGAAGAACAAAAAGACAGCAATTAACAACAGCCAAACAAGAACAGAGAAAGAGCAAACCAGCAAATGAAGAGGAGCATTACAGCCGACAAGCAGAAATGTGTGGAAGCGCCAGCAACGAGGGAGGAAAAAGCTGCAAGAGATGGAAATATGGGACAGCTATATGATACAACGAAGAAACTAGCAGGGATTTATAGTAAACCAGAGAAACTGGTCAAGGACAAAGGCAAGACAATCACCGATATTCAAGAACAGAGGAGTGGAATACTTCGAGGAACTCTTGAATAGACCAACTCCACTAAATCCACCGGACGTCGAAGTAACACACAGATCTTCCTATAGATGTCAATCCACCAACGACGGAAGAAATCAGAATGGCCATAAGACAAATTTAGAGCGGGAAAGCAGCAGGACCTGACAATATACCAGCTGAAGTCAGGTATCAAAGTAACTACAAACATGCTTCGGGGGGAGGAACAAGTGCCGATGGACTGGAAAGAAGGACACCTCATCAAGATTCCAAAGAAAGGAGATCTGAGCAAATGTGAAGACAACAGAGGCATCATACTACTACCGATACTAGGAAACGTGTTCGACGGTGTTTTCGAACCTGATGAGAGTTTCAGTAGACGCTCAGTTTCGAGATCAACCCGACGCATTCCGTAACGATCTGCTGTGCACAGAACAAATCGCGACACTATGGATGATCATCGTTGAACAATCAATTCAATTCCTACGGTTGGAGAATATATAGAACTCAAAACAACCGTCTGCAAGTCAACATCTAGGCGAGAATCTTCAGTACGAACGTCAAAACAGTTAGTACTACTGCACGAAAGTGAAACTTGGATAACTACTACAACCATCATCATAAAAGTACAAGTGTTTATAAGCAATTGTCAACACAAAATACTCCATGTCCGTTGACCAGATATCATCAGTAACATCCTACTGTGGGAGAAGAAAAACAGCTTCCAGCTGAAGAGGAAATTAGGAAAAGACGTTAGACATGGTTAGGACGTACATTGAGGAAATTTTTAAACTGCACGAGTCAAGAGCTAACTTGAAATCCTGAAGAGAAACGGAAGGCCAAAGAACACACTTAGCCGAGAATTAGAAGCTGGTATGAATAGGACGAATGACAACTGGAAAGGATATCACAAGACAGAATTGGATGGAAAGCACTGGTGAGCGGCCTGTTTCTCCACCTTGGGTAACAGGTGTAAGTAAGTGGATTAGAAATAACGTCGTACTTTGTATCTTGTTAATTCACGTCCTACATCTGTCTGGGCTTTTATTCAAAGAGATTTCTAACAGGAATGAGTATTCCCAAAGCACAGATTAGATCCTAAATTGTTGTGGAGATTAATTACACCTGCATCTAAAAAACCACTTAGATGTAGAATATACCGATCGTTAAATCAAGATATATGAACTGAGAAATATGACTACTATCTAGAAATCTCGTTTTCTAACATTTACCTGACACTACTAAACTTCCCGCCGTATGTTTGTGGGATTCATACGTCCCTGCTACTCTCCAGTAGTTTGTCCGTTTTTACAACTTTGACACCAAAATCTTATGAAAGCAAACTTACCAATTTTTTAAGTATCTTCATAAGACAAGTGCACCCATTTGTTGACGTATTCAACTAGTTGTACATACACTATATTATATTCACAACAATCATATTCCCTCAAGCTTTCATTACTTTCCTATTTTATGCAGTATGTTCGCAGTCACAACCAATAGCGAGAACTATTTTCAAGACCAGCCACAAATCCAACCTTACTCAGACAGAACAAATGCATCATACTCAATCCTGATTTACCTAAATGCTATGGTTGACTACATGTTGAATACAAACTATAATCGACTATGATATGTATTTTTCTGATTGGAGTACATTTATTCCCTGCATCCATCGACATATAGTTTCCCAGTGCACATCCATCAATATCTGAGGCTAAAACCAGAGCAGATACTTGTATGACACTATCTAGCGCTTAAGAATCACTTCACAAAATGTTACCGAGATAAATCATACATATTTTCACCACCAATTTGCAAAAGGTCATTAGTAGTAACTTTGTTAACATTACGACATAAATCCTCCCATCAGTATGGTAAAGAAAAACTGGAATCTAGTTTAATATTTCTATTGATTTTTATCTGACTTATTTAGACGTAAGACAACTGGTCGATACGACAATGATAGTAAAAAAACCCGATTAATTAAGGATTTTATGTATAGGTTATAAAAGTCAATCATCCAGATTTAAAAGCAAGAATTGCGACCTGTCCAAGGTATAAGTAGATAAAATGTTTGGTTTCATGGGTCACGTAGCTGCAAAAGAAGCAAAAATATTGAGTCCGAGTGACAATAGCCATCAGACGTTTCGAAAACTAAATAACTGATTTATAGATGAACTGATAGGTTAATTTTTTTAAAAATAGCATATTACCTACTGACAACTTCAATTGACCCGTTTTTAAATTTTGATAATCTAATAACAGTTTTTAAAGAACCGGTCAAATAAAGTACCAACTATCTGGATGAGGAAATGCTATTGAAACCGGCTTAACACTAGATTCGTATTACTTTAATTGTCAACCAATCCTAGTTTAGAGCAAAAATAGTTAGCGATTGGATTAATCCTGTTTAATAACAAAATGTTTCAAGGTTGAGACAAAGGTAAAACTAAAACATGACCTATGTCCTTTAGGTCAAATTACTAGTTAAGTGGGGAAGTAACAAAATGATCTGACAATAAAGGTTCGTTTTTTTATATTAAAAGGAATGTATTCGTTTCATCGTTCGAAACACGACAAATCTAAGGACTAAATAGGATGCAACTACTCGCTACCACCACATTACGTACTAACAGAAAGTATTAGGGGATATGGTTAGATATGCTAAACTAAAATTGGTTAGTGGCTAATTAAATGCTAAAATAATAATACATTATAACACCCAAGAGAATAACTGTGGGGTCATTTATTTACAAGAAATTATAATCTATTAGAAGAAACACAATTGAGAACATAAATGAATTAAGAAGGATTACAAAGCGAGGCCAGAGATGCTTCTAACGAATTCAAACAAGAATGACTGGTAATGCGTTCTTAGTTTGGTCTTATTTCTACTCATACCACTTTCGTCCATCTCCGCAACGTTAATGCTTTAGCGCAATCTTAGATAACGAGATGATAATTGAACGAAATATTTCTAACAGAATCAATAACTATTAAAACAGTAAGGCACAAGTAAGTTTTCAAATATTATGCACCATCAAATGAAAAATAATCTGGTTTCTAAAACATTTTATAAGTCCATCAATTCCAAAATAATTTTTCCTGAGTATACCGAGCTATTCATTATTGAATGACGACGACATGTTAAACCCTAAATGGGTTCGAACTAGCTACTTACGGTTTACTGACCTATCTTAAACTATACCCACATAAGAAACTTATACAGAACAAGAAACAAAGTAATAAAACGATTAAAAACTGAACATCAGTTACCTGCCGAAGTTTCTGCCAACTATACAATGCCAGGTTGGATTGTATCTTTTGTCGCATTCTTTTTTAATAAAAGCAGCAATATCCTTCTCAATGTTATATGTTTCCAATGCCTCAACACAAATTTTCACTACTTCAGCTTGCATTTCTTCTGACATATCAGCATTCTTAATCACAGCTTTTTTCTCTGTCATTTTCACCAAGATACACTAGGTTATTGTCAGCCAAATAACGAATTTATGTATGAAAAGTCATGACTAGAAATCAGTCCATTAAACGATTATATATTTATTCACATAAGTGTATGAATTAATTAACCAATCAGATATGGGTTAGGCACATGGTCACAGTAGCTTAGATTCACACCATGCCTAGTCGTGTTGTTGATTGAACTAGAACCACTTGATCACCCTTAATGCAGCATTACTCTTTGATTGGTTCACTAGATCATTTTTTTTTTCTTCAAAAATACTGTTGCGCCTACGTCTATGCTCAAGATAGAGGTTTTATACAGTGGATTCGATTAAAATTATGGACAAAGGTAGACATTGATATTACTAAAACTTAATTCTTCCATCCTTCGTCAGCAAAATTGATCCACATTGTCAGTGCTTACTCTAAAAGTACTTGAACGTTTGTTTTAAAATAAATATTATTCATTGTTAACATAACATCTCACCAACGATATTATGGTGATTAGAAGCAAGGCTATAATATTTTTCTTATCGGCAAAATCTTAATCCACAAGTATAATATTTAAACATCTAAAACTCTGTCTTTGGTAGATTTTAAAAGTGGCTTTTAGGATACTGTTTTACAAGAAACATTTGTTATATGTGCATGTATACTAACTCTTTTTCTCCTTTAGATTATAAGCTTCTAAATTCCCATGATTCTTTTCTATAACTTCACTAATTTGTATTTTCTCGAATTGTATCGTGGATGCCGAATCTTTTCTTTTACCATTAATACTGTTACTACCTCTATTACTCCTAGACTTGTCCCGACAATTCTATCTTGCTGTTATGAGATATGGCAACTTGAAACGATTTACAGATGGTTCATGTTCTACGTAAAGTTTGGCTGAGGGATTGGGTATCTAGTTAATCGTTACACTACAAACAGCCTGATTCAGAATGAGTAAATAATTAGGGTGTAGATTTAACTATTTTTAAGGAGAAAAATTGACAAATCGCATATCAAACATTCTGTAGTCAAATGCTTTATTTTCTCAACAAATTATTTGAAAGAAGTCTGACTTATGTGATGTTCTAATAGCACTTAATCATAATGTGCCACCGAATGACACTTAAAATACAGTAAAACGTTTAGAGAAAGCTTCTAGAATGTTCATACCTATATTTCGCATTGGTTAATACTTGCCAATAAAGTTTATCTAGATTCTTATTGGAGGCTGAAGCGTGTTTCAATCAGTGGGTCAATCGGAGCCATCACTCGTGAACCATTCAGTCCTTAGTTGAAACATAGGATTGGATTGATTGCACTTATCTGCTACTGGGTAGTGTAATTACTATTTTTTTCTCGTTCTTGATACTAACTGTATTCTATAGATCAGGTTTTCAATTGAACAACTTAGCTAAATAATTTGGTATTGATATAGAAATATTGTGATATTGGAAATACGGAAGCAGATGGTAAGAAGCTCTAGAAGTACTGTAACAAATCACCCTTCTAAGTGCTCTACTGTGTACACACGAAAAGAGTATACGAATAAAGAATTTATCAAAATCAATCACATCTTGACACACAACAGAGATATTTATCAATGAAATGTGTTAACCACTATATTTATCTGAGTGTGAATAAAATCTCCATCAAGTTGACAGAATTAAAGAGTATGTAACAGGAATGGGGAAGAGGTTATAGATCACCAACGTAGATGTTCTATGTCGAATGATTGGGGGCTTACTAGAGTAAGATGGTAATGGTGTGACTAAATCTGAATCAGGATCGGGAGTATGGTGAGTAATGTTCCGGTTCACTCGTCATCTCTCACCCTCCCGTAAACCAATCAGGTCGTAGAATAGTTTTCGTCTCTCTGCTCAAGGATGTTATTCTATATTCAGACCCACACATTTCTAGCCTCAAGGTTAAGTCAGTTAGCCTATTGTATCTAGGCCTTAATCTAGATCGAGACAAGTTCTTTCTTGTATATTATTGTGTAGACAGACCAAGGACGTAACACCATACATTCTCAACTGTACACAAAGATGAACACATGACATTCAGGTATTGTGTTAAGGAGGAAAATAGGGAAAGATTCAATCTAAATCCAATGATCTATGTTAACAATACCAGTTACTATATGATATCGAGCCAGTGTACTGTTGACACTAAGCTTAGAGTATTTCATATCGAGTATAGACTGACGTTGGAAATTTAAAGCCATAGCTTCAGTGACAGTATTTTAGACATATCATTCTTGCTATGAAACCTGATGATAAAGCTGTCATTCATTTGTGGAGTTATGGATTCAAACTACTGGGGAGAGCCAAATTAGGATGAAACAATCGTCCACTGCTCTCTGATCTTCAATGTTTTTTCTTACTGTAGTAAACTCATGATTAAAATTATCTTCAGATATAACAATTCTACACAAATTGACAAATGGAAATTCTCCTACTATGCATTTTATTCACACGATTTTTTGCATTTTCATTCTTGTCATATTACTATCATACTGATTATGACTTGATACTTTACTACATATTATTCTGACCTTTATTAAATGACCTTTCTAGTTTACAAATAACACAATTTCGAAGTACTTATTTAGTAATAGATGCAAACTTTCATCATTTTCAACAAATAACATTGTCAAATTCATTAAAACATGCCTTATTTTGGCCTTAGTAAGATGTCGTACTAATTATGGACTGATAACTGTAGAACCTGATGATGAAGTTATTGAAAACAATTGTTCGCTCAAATATTCTTTAAAGAATATTTAATTGAATGATGTGCAATGTTTACATCATCTTATTAATTCAACTTGTAATCTGCATTTTTATTATGAAACTATCATCTGCCGCTTTTTAATCCTGAAATATTAAATCAAACTTAAGTATTCTTATTAAAATAAATCTACTTTATCCATTTGATAAGTTCATATAATGACTTTCTTCAAAACCATTTTAAAGAATCCATCAACATCATATGGTCAACATAATCTCTACAATTTTCAAAATATTTCATAATGCTATACAATCTTATCACGTATTACATACTACATATAGTTTCAATCATTAATGAACATAACTTTCTTGATATGGTGGAAAAGATTTGTAGCTCAGGTGGATGATTCGGATGAAGTTTTGTTCTCTGAGCTGGATTGTTTGGTCATGGAGCTTTCATAGTTTTTGTTTTATGCTGATCATATCGTTCAGAAGAACGATGAAAGCTCCACGATCAAACCATCCAGCTCAGAGGAAAAAAACTCCAATGGAATTTGATGACTTTTCGTTATTAGAACTCAACGAATGACACATTATCAATATCATTTAGCTGAACTATAAAACTTCACCATCTTAACTGAGTAATGCATCGTTTAGTATGATTTAGCAATGATCTCTGTCGTTTTATTATATTGACAAATATTGATTTGCTGTTATGTAATCTGTAATGTTATCAAATTAGGCTACTGAGAGGTGATGGTGATTTGTTTAAATTCATTGTTAATAATAATAATAATAATATCAGAAGGGGTTTTGTGCAGATTGTAGTAATTTCAACAGTTGAGATCATGAGTCAATTGAAGCTAGACCACCATGGAAAACCTGGAAGCACTGGACGGCTGTTTCGTCCTATTGTGAGACTTCTCAATAGTGCGCATCCACGACCCCGCCCCGCGGGATTCGAATCCAGGAACCAGCAGTCTCGTGACAGGCGCTTAACCAACTAGACCACTGAGCCAGTATCCAACGGCGTTAATGTCTAGTGAGAAGCAGTGACCAGTGGAGTTCAACCGAGTCAGTTGTGAGGTAGTAACTCACTGATGACAATGGTGAATGTGTCGCTGAATTTCGTGGATTAGTTGAAGTTAGACATTAACACCGTCGGATACTGGCTCAGTGGTCTAGTTGGTTAAGCGCCTGTCACGAGACTGCTGGTTCCTGGATTCGAATCCCGCGGGGCGGGGTCGTGGATGCGCACTATTGAGAAGTCTCACAATAGGACGAAACAGCCGTCCAGTGCTTCCAGGTTTTCCATGGTGGTCTAGCTTCAATTGACTCATGATCTCAACTGTTAAAATAATAATAATAATAATAATAATAATAATAATAATAATAATAATAATGATTAGTCCGAAAGTATTAAGATGTTAAATTATTCTATGAATCAGAGCATAATTAATGTTGTTATTTTAAATCAATAAGCAATTCAGTTGGAAAATTATTAAATTTCCTATTTATTATTAAAACATGGTTATTTGATGTTTTGATAGGAATACAAGTTGAGCAAAGAAACTGGATGGTTTGGTCCATCTAGCTCAGAGAACAAAACTCCATCAAAAACATAGCTTTTTTAAAAGGTGTCTAACGTGACTAAAATGTATAAATTTACTGAAATCTTATGTTTCAAAACATGGTTCGTGACTAGTTGAGAAATGACTCTGTGCGATAGTAGAGTTCCGTTCAACCGAATTGGATGTTTAACTAAGCATATTATTATATAACCAAACTTTCATCAAATCTAAATACCTAAGGAAAGCTTTAGATTTTAGGTCAATATTAAAATATTTGATTTTCCAAGAATATTTAAATGTTGATGCATAAAATGAAGTCAGTATGTGTTATAATTACAGTTATTATTTGGTAGCTTCATAATATGAGTATTATATGAGTAAAACTGAATCGCTGTTGATGAATATAAATGGAATTATGCTGATTGAAGATATTGATGTAGAAGGACAAGGGTCAAAATAAATTATATTTAGTTAATAAGAACGAGCGCCGTTGTAATTCCCCGTTGCTGACGTGTCCCGAATAGGACGAAATGCTTGAGATGGATTTTACTGTTAAACATTTACTTACTTACTTACGCCTATTACCACACGTCGTGGAGGAGCATAGGCCACCCACCAGTATCCTTCATCCAACTCTGTCCTGGGCAATATTTTCCAGTTACCATTCAACTTATTCAAGTCTGCTTCCAATTCTCGGCTCAGTGTGTTCTTCGACCTTCCTCTTTTCCGCTTCCGATCAGGATTCCAAGTTAGCACTTGCCTGATTATGCAGTTTGGTTATTTCCTCAATGTGTGTCTTATCCACTTCCAACGTCTTTTCCTAATTTCTTCTTCATATGGAAGCCGGTTTGTTCTTTCCCACAGTTTCTGTAATGTTCTGTTACCAATACTCTC